CACTAGATTGCTTTTCTTGTGTTTGGGTGTGCATACTTTTGGGTGTACCAGCATCTGTCTTATGTCAACAATGTATACTACCCCAAGTGGCCAAAAATTCTTTAATGCAGCTATGATAAAGTATTTCCCCAACTTTGAGTCAGATCCAACACGAACTCTTGCACAACAAATGGAAGACAGGACTGGCATACAAAGGCAAAAAACTACCAAATGTACACACTTCTGAACACACACAAACCACACAAAACATTTTTCACATCCAATCTTGTAACAAAAGACACACATGCACACAAACAGTAAAATTGGCAGGGCACCTTCACTGCTGGTAAAGCATTGGCAGTTAGATGGCTAGTTAGTTGGCTAGATTAGTTAGTTGGCTCTAGCCACGATGGTCTGATTGAGACTGACACAGAATGGGCATGTCCCGCTCAGGCCTCCTTTACGCACAGCTGACAAGGCTGCCAATGAATGCAGCAACTGTAACCAGATAATACACTAACACAGGGCCATTTTGAAAATTAGCACTGTTAAACAAAGTCTGGGAGTGACAGCTGCTGGAATGTCCAAAACAATGATTGCTGTTCTGAGTCATAAGCTTTGCTTTGTTTCTGCCAAAAAAACAAACAAACCAAAAAAATCTCACTGTAACTGGATAACCATGTACACCAGTGACCGGATGAGAGGAAGTCCCAAGACTCCCGGTCGACTTACATGTAGAGCCCAACTATTTATTTAGTTGGACCAAAATTTTTGCAAAAAATCAAAGCATGAAATTATAATTTTAATGCTTCATCTCTCATTGAAAATGTATCTTATTTTTACTGCCAGCAGAAGACTTGTGGGATGAGTATTCAACAGTTAAGCTAGCTAGTCCTCGAGTAACAAAAGTACAATGTGTTATATAACCTTGGCACAACAATGATGTTTCATTATGATTTAAGAATTTTGGCAATTTTATGCCTGCAACTGATTTATATTTATCGATTGCTAATGATATTCTAGCACGGTGGCCTGGTGGCCCTTTTGGATGAAGGCAGTGGCATGAAATGTATTGCCTTGTATAGGACATTTCTCTACACCCAGTGCAAAGAGGCATTATTGAAGGCTAAAAAACTTTAGTTTTATACTTTCTTCACACAGCTCAGCATTGAAAAGGGTGGGAAAATATTTTTAGACTCTGTTTAGAATGCCTTTATTTGATTTGACAGCTGAGTGAAGAAAGGCAACAGAAAGTGCTTCTCCCCAAAGCCACATTGGTGAGACTAACAGTGCAGCATTTTCTTTCTATGGTTCTAATGTTAGTTACATTATCACATGCTGCAAACATCTTAATATTAAATTCAATCTTTAGAGTATATATACTGTATCCACTCTTCTGTGACATCAATTGAGATATCTCTTCCCTAGCTCACTTTTATACCTGACAAATCTCTCTCAGAAGTCCTCACCAGTGGGCAGCCTGAAAAAGAGATCTCCATCCAACCATTTTGCCCAACTGTCCTGCCTGAGAGGGATCTTTCTACCAAATCATTCCACCTGAATGCCTCAAGGCCAGTACACTCTGACAGAGTATCATGATTGAACAAATATATAAACAAAAAATTTATAAGCAGCCTGCCTCTAGCAAAAACTCAACCTGACATGCCCTCATGATAGTACACTCTACGACTCATAAACAGAAAAACAAACATTGCCATCCATCTGTTTTACCTAAATCTTCTATGCTTGTCCAATTCCCTTTTCCTCATTTAAAATATCTTCCACTCTGTTTTCCTCGCCTTAGGTATTTCACAACTTATTGATTCTGTTTCCTGCTTCAACCGCCACTTCACAACAATAGAAACACGGCATCCGTGTTTCCCAACCAATACTGAATCCACAACCCAAGAACCCAACTATGACTTAGACCTAGACTGGTTGGCATTCAGCCATACAGGTGTCATGCTATCCTTTGAGAAAAAAAGTGATGTTTCATGCTGTTTGTCATTTATCTATTATCTGAATAGATGTCTCTTCTTTCCAATAGTCCAGATCTTGGTTGTAGAATAAATCTCCAAAAGTGTAAATAGTAGTAATTTTCTTTAGTTCGCCTTTTAAAAAGGGTGAGTAAATGGGAGATAGATGCTAGATATATGCATGCTACTGACCTGAATTAGAGTGAAATATTGCTCCGCTCTCTAGTGTGACTTGGCATGAGATAAGTGCGACAGGGAAGCTGCTTTAGCGTTATCTGGAGGACGGTCTGTCCTTTGTTTGAAGGGCAATGAGGAAGGAAAATTGATCACATCCCGTTTCTCTTCTCTCTATGATGCTTTTTTACCCATTATTTCTCTGTCTCTTCTTTCCTTTTTTGTGTCATCCCACCCTTTATCTCTCATTTATTGTCTGCTTGCCTCATCCAATCATCCCATTCAATCCTCTCCCTTTCAAATCCCCTACTACCCCGTGTCTTGTAGCGACTCTCTATCGGTTGTTCCACGTCTGCGTGTCTCCTTCCGGTCCATAAATAGTGTTTATGTGTTAGATGTTGTGCATATGAATATCAGATCTCTGTGATGTTTCCCCTGCACCAGCAGTCAGCCTGGGATATCACTCAGGATTTATCTGTTGTTCCGCTCTGCTCTGCTTTATGAAGGCAGCTCGAACACAGAGGTCAATACAGAAAGAGAGTAGGGGGGAGGGGGAGGGAGAGAGAGAGAGAGAGAGAGAGAGAGAAAAACAAGACTTTCCACCAAATGACAACTACTTGTGTGTATGATGGATGCTCCCGGATACAATCTGACTGAGCGTGCGTATCCATGCATGTGTGGGGTAGAGCAGTGACTGTCATATCTGGAGTGTGTATTTCACTGAGTTTCGTGTACAGGTGTATGTGTGCTTATGACTGCATCTACAGCAATATGTCTATGTAGTATATGGCGGCTTCAGGAGATTACAGGAGTGTTACAGGAGGTGTGCGTGTTCCTGCACTTGGCAGTGTGCATTTATCTGTGCTGTAAGAAGCCCTTCACTGGTATGGTTCTTACTACCTACATTTAAAATGTAGATTTGTTCAAATTAGTTAACTAGCCTTTTACGTATGTGTTTGTGTTTATTTAAGTCTGATCTTATTTAAAAGGTGTCAATTCATTCATTCATTATTTCCTGAAATTAAATTGTGTTTTATGAAACTTTATAAAAACATGAGTTCCCAATACTCCATGAAAGCACTTAAATCAAAAGTTACTATAATGACAGTTAATGTTGGCAGAGAGTGAATATGTTCATAACTTCAGTTAATGCAGAGTTATTTGGTAATACTTTATAATATGTCCTGCAAAGTACAGTGTAATTCTGTATAATGTATTTTTGGTCTAATGGTGTACCAGTACAGGGAGGGGAACAAGATGAGAAGTTGGGAACTTAAATGAATTTTTACTGTTGGTATTTTTAAAACTCAGAAGCAGCTATTCCAGTGAACGACCTATTAAACCACTGTGTTCTCCTTGGAATGACATACGCCCTCAGTCTGAAGTATCATTCAAAACCTTTTAAACTCCAGAGACTTACAACACTGAGGCTAAATACAAGGCTTGTGCAAGGTTCTATTAACTGTGTGTGACATCCATTTTCACTGTTATGTTGACGATACACAGCTTTATGTGTCCACAAACTCCAGTTCCGCTCTCTACTCAAATACCCTTTCTGCCTGTCTACATGATATACAGACATGGATAACAACTTACTACTTACAACTCAACAGTAGTAAGACTGAGCTACAGCTCATTGGTTCCAAATCTACTCTGTCAAAAACTAACATCAGCTCATTCCCCATTATTGGAGCCGTCATATCTGTCTCCACGCAGGTTAAGAGCCTTACTGCCATATTGGACAGCACCTTCTCTTTCTCCAGCCATATCAATAATGTATCCTGGACTGCCTTTTTCCATCTGCGAAACATCTCCAGACTACACCCTGCTCTAACCCAACACTCAATGGAAGTTTTTGTAAATGCTTTGGTCACATCACGCGTTGATTACTGCAATGAAATTTTAGCAGGTATCCCCAATAAACTTATTCACAGACTGCAACTCATCCAAAATGCTGCAGCATGGATCATAACACGTCCACAGAACATGTCACTCTTCTGTTGATTCAATTACACTGGCTCCCTGTATCACAAAGGATTAACTTTACAATATTACTATTAACATTCAAAGCCCACCACAATCTGTCTCCTACTAATCTCACTGACCTGATTCAGACTTACACTCTGAATACACTTAGCTCGTTCCCTGCAGTCTTCCACAACAAGTCTTTTGGCACTACCAATCATCAACCTCAGTACAATGGGTGCTAAGGCCTTCTCCTACGCTGCACCCAAACTTTGGAACTCTCTTCCCTCCCACATTCGTACACTGGACTTTATTACAAAATTCAAAACTGCTCTTAAAGTGGTGGTATTATTGTTTTTGGTTTTCCCCCTCTCCTTTATTGAGTTATATACCTTTTTGTGCATGTAATAGGTTTGCAAATTGAAAAAGCCCAAAATCCATCCCTAAAGGAATTCCCATCTCCCACAGAAAACTCTGCTCTGAACTGCCTGAAAACAGCTTGTTTGTAGTCCAGCTGTTTCCCTTTTATCCTTGTGACATCACAGAGATGAAAGCAACATGCGCGTCATATAAAGCTCGCCAAGCGGCTAGTCCAACACGCCCTCAAAAACACCAGTGGAAAAACACTGAGCTGCAGCACACACCTCCTCTCCCTCCCAAACACTACCCAGATAGCAAACATTATTGAAACTATGTTGAATCAGCATTCTACTCTCAACGCTAATTTCATTGAATCAACATCAGACTGTGATGTTGATTCATCATCATTTTGCACCCTTTAATAGTAAAACAACGTCATAGCTAACTAAAAATCAACATGACTTCAATGTTATTTCAACCAATATTAAACCACATAAAAGAGACTATAATACATGAAAAATGTATAAATGACAATGGACAATTTAATCAGTTAAAAAATACAAGTTTAATTATGGAATAAAAAAAATTATTCTCTACTCCTGTTCACCCATCAGGTCTGGAGCATAGGAATCCATTTTTGTGCTGCCTAGGCAAAGTCAAAGACTTCTGTCCCCAATGGTTCAGTCAGGGCATCTATAACAGAAAACATACAAACAAAATAACTTTCAGTAGTGAAAAGGATGTGAAGATGAACAATGTCAGTCGGGCTGAATTGGCGCTGTATTATATATATAACAGTTAACTTACTTGAATTCACTAATGTTACCAATTTGCCAGTTTATTGTAGATGTAGACTGCCTGGCTGTGGTGGAATCCATTGACGTTTATAGTTTAACGTTATTTAAATTGTCATACATTAAATGCAGTCATAGATTGAATCTGGAGGCTGAAAGTTGTTGAAGACTGACAGATGTATCAAGTTAGCTGGCTTATTTAAAGTTAAATGACAGGGGCATTAGATAAGATCAGTTACGAGCATGAGAAAGGTGTGCATATATTTCGCAAAGCAGTCAAAATCTGAGCAAAGATAAAATACATTTTTTGTAACATAATTTACAGTCCTGTGCAGGATATTATCCTCTGGTGATAAAGTTAGCATTTATACTAGTGAAGTAATCCTAATACGATGGAGCTTGGATATTGTGCTATTTGTCAGTATAAAATGGTATTGATACACTTGTATATAGTCTATGACTGCATATAATGTTAGACAATGTCAATAAACGATAAATGTCTACAAATTTGGTACAATTAAACATTAGATAAATAAATATGTACTTACCTGATGTGGACTTGGAGATGTGTGGGGTTCAGGAACGTTGATCCACCAAACGATGGTCTCCCGGTCAATAATGCTGCATTGACTTTTCAATCATACAGTATTTCCTGGTCAACTATAAATCCATGGCTTTTCAATATCACGTCATTTCCCGGTCAACTATAAATACAGTGGGTACGGAAAGTATTCAGACCCCTTTAAATTTTTCACTCTTTGTTTCATTGCAGCCATTTTCCAAAAATCAAAAAAGTTCATTTTATTTCTCAGTAATGTACACTCAGCACCCCATCTTGACAGAAAAAAAACAGAAATGTAGAAATTTTTGCAAATTTATTAAAAGAGAAAAACTGAAATATCACATGGTCATAAGTATTCAGACCCTTTGCTCAGTATTTAGTAGAAGCACCCTTTTGATCTAATACAGCCATGAGTCGTTTTGGGAAAGATGCAACAAGTTTTTCACATCTGGATTTGGGTATCCTCTGCCATTCCTCCTTGCAGATCCTCTCCAGTTCTGTCAGGTTGGATGGTAAACGTTGGTGGACAGCCATTTTCAGGTCTCTCCAGAGATGCTCAATTGGGTTTAAGTCAGGGCTCTGGCTGGGCCATTCAAGAACAGCCACGGAGTTGTTGTGAAGCCACTCCTTCGTTATTTTAGCGGTGTGCTTAGGGTCATTGTCTTGTTGGAAGGTAAACCTTCGGCCCAGTCTGAGGTCCAGAGCACTCTGGAAAAGGTTTTCGTCCAGGATATCCCTGTACTTGGCCGCATTCATCTTTCCCTCGATTGCAACCGGTCGTCCTGTCCCTGCAGCTGAAAAACGCCCCCACAGCATGATGCTGCCACCACCATGCTTCACTGTTGAGACTGTATTGGACAGGTGAGGAGCAGTGCCTGGTTTTCTCCACACATACCACTTAGAATTAAGGCCAAAAAGTTCTATCTTGGTCTCATCAGACCAGAGGATCTTATTTATCACCATCTTGGAGTCCTTCAGGTGTTTTTAAGCAAACTCCATGCGGGCTTTCATGTGTCTTGCACTGAGGAGAGGCTTCCGTCGGGCCACTCTGCCATAAAGCCCCGACTGGTGGATTGCTGCAGTGATGGTTGACTTACTACAACTTTCTCCCATCTCCCGACTGCATCTCTGGAGCTCAGCCACAGTGACCTTTGGGTTCTTCTTTACCTCTCTCACCAAGGCTCTTCTCCCCCGATAGCTCAGTTTGGCCGGACGGCCAGCTCTAGGAAGGGTTCTGGTCGTCCCAAACGTCTTCCATTTGAGGATTATGGAGGCCACTGTGCTCTTAGGAACCTTAAGTGCAGCAGAAATTCTTTTGTAACCTTGGCCAGATCTGTGCCTTGCCACAATTCTGTCTCTGAGCTCTTCAGGAAGTTCCTTTGACCTCATGATTCTCATTTGCTCTGACATGCACTGTGAGCTGTAAGGTCTTATATAGACAGGTGTGTGGCTTTCCTAATCAAGTCCAATCAGTATAATCAAACACAGCTGGACTCAAATGAAGGTGTAGAACCATCTCAAGGATGATCAGAAGAAATAGACAGCACCTGAGTTAAATATGAGTGTCACGGCAAAGGGTCTGAATACTTATGACCATGTGATATTTCAGTTTTTCTTTTTTAATAAATTTGCAAAAATTTCTACATTTCTGTTTTTTTCTGTCAAGATGGGGTGCTGAGTGTACATTACTGAGAAATAAAATGAACTTTTTTGATTTTTGGAAAATGGCTGCAATGAAACAAAGAGTGAAAAATTTAAAGGGGTCTGAATACTTTCCGTACCCACTGTAGATGATTTTTCAATCATGTTTCCCGGTTAACAATAATTCAATGACTTTTCAATCATGTTTCCCGGTTAACTATAAATCAATTGCTTTTCGATCATGTTTCCCGGTCAACAATAATTCAATGACTTTTCAATCATGTTTCCCGGTCAACTATAAATCAATTGCTTTTCGATCATGTTTCCCAGTCAACTATAATTCAATGACTTTTCAATCATGTTTCCCGGTCAACTATAAATCAATGGCTTTTCGATCATGTTTCCCAGTCAACTATAATTCAATGACTTTTCAATCATGTTTCCCGGTCAACTATAAATCAATGGCTTTTCAATCATGTTTCCCGGTCAACTATAAATCAATGGCTTTTCGATCATGTTTCCCAGTCAACTATAATTCAATGACTTTTCAATCATGTTTCCCGGTCAACTATAAATCAATGGCTTTTCAATATCATATAATTTCTGGTCAACTATAAATAGATGACTTTTCAATCATGTTTCCCGGTCAACAATAATTCAATGACTTTTCAATCATGTTTCCCGGTCAACTATAAATCAATTGCTTTTCGATCATATTTCCCGGTCAACAATAATTCAATGACTTTTCAATCATGTTTCCCGGTCAACTATAAATCAACGACTTTTCAATCATGTTTCCCGGTCAACTATAATTCAATGACTTTTCAATCATATTTCCCGGTCAACAATAATTCAATGACTTTTCAATCATATTTCCCGGTCAACAATAATTCAATGACTTTTCAATCATGTTTCCCGGTCAACTATAATTCAATTACTTTTCAATCATATTTCCCGGTCAACTATAATTCAATTGCTTTTCAATCATGTTTCCCCATCAACTATAAATCAATGGCTTTTCAATATCATGTCATTTCTGGTCAGCTATAAATAAATGATTTTTCAACATTGTTGTTGTTACCCAGTCAACTACAAATCAATGCTTAATCAAGTATAATCGGGGCAACTATAAATCAATATTATTCCAATGTCATGCTCATACATGGTGGTTTTTCATCAGTACTGCAATATTGATTCAACATTTATTTAGGGTTGAGATTTCAATCATTCAACCATTCTGATGATTCAGATGGAAAATCAATATTTATTCAATGTAGTCTTGCTATCTGGGTAGCTACCCTCCAGGCAGTCAATGGACATAAAGTTGTTAGTGTGATGTAGAGACAGAGCTCGGTTATAAATTTATGGATGAAAGATACTTTTGTTACAGATTAATAACTCACCACTCTGAAACTCTTGCTCCAGTCCATGTTGATAAGCTGATAAGGGGAACATGTACAACTGAACCGAAGCTGCGTTTACCGGCTTCTCACTGACCCAACCTTCTCTCCTTAACTAAGAACTGTGCATGTGCAACTCCCAACAAAGATCATGTAGAGACAAGATTTATCACTCCATAGCTAAAATAAAGCCTTCAACACAGGGTGAAAATAGGAGCTGCAGCCATGTGCAGTATGAAAAAAAGTATGGGTTTTTTTGAAAATTAAACCATGTAAACCTGTTCTGGTACAACTAAATAAGATTTTGAACCTGAAAATGAGCATAATACCACCTCTTTAAAACTTTTAAACTAGTGTACTCACTGTAATAATGTGCAACACTGTTTTTTTATGCTATAAGGATGCTATGTATTATTGCTGTTTGCTGTATTGTATGATGTAAGGTGACTTTGAGTGTCATCAAAGGTGCCATCAAATAAAATATTTATTATTTATTTTATTATTGTTCCAGCATGTGTGTTCATTCAGTGTGTTCCAGTATGTGGGGTATAGTGTGGAGCTTAAAGTATTAAACTATTAAAACAGTTTAATAGACTGTGTTTATAAATGGCTACAGTCATATAGCACTGTTTTCTAAGGTTTTTGCCAGGAATGATCAGTCATTATCAATGAGAGGTTGAGCTCTCTGAGTGTTGTGTAGAATTAATGTAGGTAAGCTGTATTTTCAGGCTAAATGGCTAAATTGACATTTCATAGAGGTTAGGTATTTGGGAAACCTATATTAAACACATTACATGGTCAAGTTGCATTTTTTGTAGAATGAAACAACAGGTCTTTTTCTTCTCATGTCACAAAAATTATTTACCTCTAATTTGGTTTTGAATGTCTGCATGTTTTAGTTAAACCATTTAAAATTTGACAACAGGCAAAGAACAGGCTTGTGGGCCCTATCATGGACAAGTCTCTAAAAAAGAAGGTAAATGACAAAGAGCCATATTTCATGACAGCAGCAGCAGCAGCAGCAGCAAGCCAAAGCAGGACAAGGGGCTCCCCACTGAGACCAAAAGCTGAGACTCTACGCTAGGTGGAGGATGTCCATGAGGGGCTCCAGTTTCAGGCTCCAACTGGAGGAAGCAACAGACTCTTAAAAAGGCACCTACAAGTAACTACCATCTTCAGCAGGGAAAAAAATGAGGTTGATGGCAGAGCATAACAGAGCCATCAGCAGGAGCAGGCTCTGGGAGGCAGAGAAGAAATTACACGAGGAGCGGAGCTTGAGACTCAAGCGTGAAAAGGAGGTGCAGAAGCTCAATGGAGATATCAAAAATGTGAGTCTGTCCTCCAAAGCACTTCCAGCTGAGTCCCTGGATTAGTCAAATAACACAGAGAAAAACAAAGAGGAGTTCATAAGGGACTTGAAAGAGCTGTAAAGGCTTGTTGCAGATACAAAGCTGCTTCAGGCAGCTTCAGGCTAAAAAGCTGAGGGCTGACATCAACAAGAGAGAACTTGAGCTAGCCTCCAAATTGAAAACTCAGGAGGAGGCCAGTCAGGCGATGGAGAAAAGGTGCTCTGAAAGCAGATAAAGCTCCAAATGTGCAAGCTGATCGCAAAGGCCTTCTATCCAATTGTGGTCACTGGAGAGGTCGATGCTCCAGAGATGGTCCCTCAAACACCAAAGAAGCCATCTGTGTGGTGGCGATTCAAGAAGTCTGTCACTCCAAAATGCCTCCACAAACACAAGGAGGAGGGGGAGGATCAGGAGTGAAACATAAACACACACACATGCATGTACGCGCACACACACACACACACACACACACACACACACACACACACACACACACACACACACACACACACACACACACACACAGGCTGTAACAGGCCTTCAGGAAGCCTGGAGGTTCAATATTTAGTCCTGACAGAAGGAATCCAGCCCATTTCTGTCTTTAAGGTCCTTGCATGTACCCACCATGTCTGAGTGGGTTTAACACTGGTACTCCTAAATCCTCCCACAAACCAAAAACATATGCAATAATTGAAAAAAAACTTCACATTCTTTAAATATACACATTCTTTAAATATACATGCTTTCTGTATAGTTGTATTTCTGTAGAGTATGTTTCATACTG